TTCCCGCCCGAAGCTGGTGACGTGGAACTGCAAAAAATACATTGGGCACAATCAAAGTATAGCAACTCAGCAATATATGGAAATAGTTCCCACCCGAAGCTGGTGACGCGGAACTGCAAGCATATCTTACATTACGTTTCAAGCAAAGTGTAGCTATTCAGCAAAAATTACAGAGATTGTTCCTGCCCGAGCCTGGTGACACGGAACTGCAAGCATATCTTACATTGCGTTTCAAGCAAAGTGTAGCTATTCAGCAAAAATTACAGAGATTGTTCCCGCCCGAGCCTGGTGACGCGGAACTGCAAGTATATCTTACATTGCATTTCAAGCAAAGTGTAGCTATTCAGCAAAAATTACAGAGATTGTTCCCGCCCAAGCCTGGTGACGCGGAACTGCAGCACATATCAGCAAAAGTACCGGTACTATGACAATCAGCAAATGTCAGCAATTGTTCCCGCCCGAGCCTGGTGACGCGAAACAGCAACTTATATCAGCAAATACATAGCGCTGTCAGCAAAAATGTATGAAAAGCAATTATCATATCAGCATTTGTTTCCACCCAAAGCACATGGAGCGGTAAATTAATTTGGGAATGTACCTGCGCGGTACAAAGCAGAATGCAAAATTACCCAACTTTCATGAACAAATTAGCAAGGATTTACTCCAGCATGCAATAACTTTGGGCCAACCATCTAACGCTGGGATCGGACAGCAATTTCCAAGAGGTGCGGCCCGACTTGGGCTTACAGTGGGTTGCTGGAATAATGGGCAACTGATGAGCATTTTCAACAACCACTTACAGCTATTTATGTCAAACGGCAGAAATTAGTGAGTACGAAATGGCTTTTCTTAATTTGGCCCTTAATAATCTAGTGACTCCCCGACAAAGGAAGGGATCAGGCCTTTCCTTTCGGCACATAAGTGTCGTTAATAAGAATACACCTGAATGAAATTCACGCCAAACAACCACCTAAGTCGGTGACTTTGCCATTCTAAGAAGGGTGAAAACCCCCCTAAAACCATTAAGGAGAAAAAAGGGGGGAAATTCCCTTCTGGCTCCGTAAAACTGGCAACCGAGTACCGGATTTACCGGATCGCTGTCAATTACTCTAGAATCGGCAAAGTGGACTACCGACGGAATGCCATCAACATTTGTTTTGCAAGGCAACAAAAAAGGTATAAAAGTAAGCTACAGCTGACAGGTGGTGGCACTGAACGGGGTGGAGGAGGGTTGCTTTTGCAAAACAGACAGATTTTCTCTTTTCCAACCAAGCGCCACGGCTGCTCAAGCAAAAGTGACCGGGAGTAACTCTCCAGTGCTAACATTTTTAAGGTCATGCCAGTAACTAATTCGAGGCATTAAATCACCGTGCCAGCAACCGCAAGTGAACACTACTGACCCACATAGTGACAAGAGCCTCCAATGTTCCGCGGTGATAAATTATTTGAAGCTGCAATTTATTTTGCCTCAAATTGATTATATGTTCATTTGCAAATGAAATTCAGAACAAACAATTATTTTATCCAGATCATTATAATATTGTCATCTTTTCATAGCGTTTGTTTTCTATTGTCCAGAGATATTGTGCAACATAGCAACAACAAGTTTGCAGTCATATTTTATTATTTTCTCCAGATTATAGGTCATTGTAAAGCAGAAATCGTTTTGATTGCACCTTCAGAAAAAAATCAAAATGTCAAAAACTAAACTAAACAAACAAAAAATAAACAGTTGCATCCTATTTTATGCTAATAAACGTCACATGTCAATATAGCCACCCTGTTTGCTGATGACTTTCAACAGTCTGCTGTTCACTGATTTTGTCAAATTGTTTACTGTTTCCTTCGAAACAAGTGCTGCTGCTTCCTTAATCGCATAGCGTAAATTGTCTGCTTCAACACCGACCAGAGGTTCTCCATCGGATTTAAATCCGGTGAACAAGCAGGCCACTCCATGATCTGGTCCTGCTTGAATCCGTTGCGCTCCATCCAGGCTTTTGTGTAATGGGATGCGTGCGAAGGTGCGGATGCTGCTTCCACTATGGCACAAAGTTGGCATTCAAAAGATCACAATATCCTTCAGAGTTCAGTTTAACACCGTCCTCAACACGAAATGGTCCAATCATCTGATCACCAATGATAGCAGCCCAAAACATGACTCCACCCCTACCTTGTTGTCGACGTAGTTGCACTGGTGCAGACTGCTCCTGAGTTATCCATCCTCTGGCCAATCCATCTGGTCCATCCAGTGTTGCTCTGCACTCGTCCGTGAAAATAATGCGTGAAAAGTCAATTTTCATATATTTTTCAGCCCAGGAAATGCATTTGGCTTTGTGGTTTTTGTTGAGAGGTGGTCGTCTTTGAGCCTTTCGAACCTTGGCAACCTCCTTTAAGGCCTTACAGCGTGTGGTTCTGGATACTTTAGGCATACCTCTCTGCTGGTTGCTAGAAGAATTTTTGGTAACATGATGGTGAATCTGTACTGTACAGTGGACTGTTCCATAATAACTCTTGACAGTGTTTTCTGAAAATAACTCACATTTGGACTTGTATCTCATGAGTTACAGACAACGCTTTTTCTATTGCATTTCTCACATGTCCACTGAGGCATGGAGAGCAGTTGGGGCATTATGGAACATGTTGTGTTTACGTCAACAAAAACACATACTTGCATAATAAGTTTGGACATAGTGTACATGTGTCCCAATGAGTGATGTAATGATGATGTCATCATGGGTCATGTTACGTCATCACAAAGTTGCATATTTCAAAGCCCTATATCTACACGGTAAGTGCGATTGGGTTTAAACTTGGTACATGTATGTTGTTAGACTGCCATGTGGTATAGATAAAAATTGAGTTGACGTCATCATGACGTCATCGTGTGATTTTATTTGTAATTTTGAATTTTTAAAGTGTTTTGCCATATCTCACTAATGCAACATGATAAATTCAAAATTCTTTTTGTATTATGGTAGTTGGGCAATAGATATGTGCACAAAATTTGGAAAAATGCATGAAGTCATCATGACATCATCAAAAATGTCACTATTTAAAACACACATAAGGCAATGTTTGATTGTCATGAAACTTGGCAGGTAGGTAGATAATAGTCCCAGTAACCTTAACCTGAAATGGCGGCTCAATGACGTCATCGGTTATTTTTTAATGATTTTTTAAAATTTAATATTGCTCATCAGTTTTCACACTTGTATTCATTCGATTGCTTCATACTAGGCACAGACTAAGACTACAATAAAGCGAGGTGCACTGGCAAGTGTTAGTGTGATGACGTCATCATGAATTATTTGACGTCATCAGAAATTCACGAATTTTAAAGCCCTATATCTAGAGAACGTTAAGTCAGATTTTGTTGAAACTTGGTATATGGCTAGACCAAAAGACAATATACATACAAAAATTAAACGACATCATAACGTCATCAACAATTTATATATTTTTTTCATTTTGGCCATTCTTGCTCACGAGCATGCTAAATTCAAAATTCCTTTGCATTACAAGCATTAAACATAATAAAATGAGAAATACAGAAAAGCCCTATATTCTCTTGCAAAGAGACATAGAACCTCTAGTTTTGGTTGTGTTTCCGAGGTAAGTTCTATTAATAGTACTGAATGCAAAACTGTAATTCATTCATTTCAAACTTAAAGTTGCAGATTTTTATTTTTCCAGAGATCTTCACGTACAGCTGCGAAACAGGCATATGATCTGCAAAAAGATGCTGTCAAATGGATCGAATCTGGCAAAGATCCTGAATACCTACAGGAGAGAATTGTTAACAGTTTTGTTGGTAAGTTAAATTAGTGGTTTCCTTGCTCTAAATCATGGTGCAGATGATTGCTTAGTAATATCGCATCTTACATGTTACTTGTCCCAACACAGAATGTCATAATGCTAGAACAGTCGATACTTTCCATTCAGTGAAAAAAAATACACTTAAAAGTTACCTACCAACAACAGTAGAGTTCGTGAGAAGCACAAATTTGCAGTCACATGGGACAGACTACCTAGTGGAGTGCGTGCGTAACATAGCCAGCCATAAGTTTTAAAGACCTACTGAAAAGGTTGTGGGGTTTTTTCAGATTGAGGGTTTTGTAAACAGTACCTGTCCAGAAACACAAATAAAACCGATTTACTGGCAGAAACTGTCACCACAACAAATTACAGGACATTGCAATGCTGAATCTGGCAAATTTCCGAAAAGCGTGAGGTCAGTTTCATTGTTTACATTTGGCTTGTGACGTCAAGTAGAGACACTACATGTACGTTCAATATGCAGTACACAATGTATGCACAGCACTGCTACTGTGTGTATACCGGAGCTAACGCGAAGGGTTATGAACTGTGAACAGACCAGCTATGGTACACTGTTTACTGCGCAAGTTACCAGACCACATTTCCTCTTTGAAGTTCTTCTAGTGAAGAATCTGGGATAAATGTTGCAACCTGATGCCACTTTTGAGTCCCCCTCCCAAAAAAAGCACAATTTTGGCTCTGAACTTGTCCGTCAAACATGTAGAGTCCACTTGCATGTGATTAGAGTAAGGAGTTTGTGGGGAAGTCTTTCATGGAGTTTCGGGGGCAAAATTCTGGTCATGTACATGTACCGGTAGGCCTACGGTACATCCAATACGCAGTGTGCACACAGTAAAACTGTACTAAGTTGACCAGACTTTTGCCCCCAAAGTTCCATTTCCCCACAAACTCCTCACACTACTTACATGCAAGTGGACTTTATGCGGTATAAGTTAAGAGCCAAAGATGTGTTTTTTCGGTTTAGAAAGGGACGTCAGGATGCAATATTTTTTCCAAGAATCTGTTCTGCGGAGGAAAATAATACAGAGCACATATTTGAAGTTCGTAGTGCCGATCCCTAGAAATGAAAACCGGTGGTGGACGTGGCGGTTCAGCCAATGACTGTGTTGCTACATACTCTATGGGACCATGCGGGACAGCAAAACTGCCTTGGAAACTCTGAGTGGTTAGTACATTCGTATTTAATCACCGAGTAGTAAGTCTGATGATTTTTTTTTTGTGCTGAAACATTTCTTGGTTTGAAGAATTAGTTTCATGATCAATTGCCGTATTCATGAACATGATCATGGGATTGCCATAACCCAATCTTCACATACATGTACACATGATGAATAAGTCTAGATATGCTCTGGAGGCCTATGTTGAATATGTATTTCAAATAGACAATATGTGACTGTGGACTTTAAGTGCACTAATTACCATGGTACCTACATGTACTTTTTTGTCTCTTTCTCAGGAAATTTTGGTCGCATACCCTCAAGTTGTAAGATGGTGTTGGGGATTCCTGTAGAGGCACAATAGGATACCGTTGCCATCGTGTTTAATGCAAATTGTGCATGACACTCATCCAAGTCCAGATGGAGTAAACAGAATTCAGCTACCCACAAGTGGAGGAACTCCAAGATTTGTTTTTTGAAATGCAGTATTATACAATGTACCGGTACAGTACTTGAAAAAGAAGTGTTTGGACTTGGCCCAATTTGCACCTAAGTAAAATTATAATAATACAGTGTACATTACATTTATTGAAAAATTTAATGCAGCCAGCACCCAGGTTGAAGATTCCCACTGACAAGGCCTCTCTCTAATTATCAAGATTTGCCCTAGTAGTTGTGCGATTTAGTTTTTCCTTTCATTTCATTTCAGTACCTACTTTGTGACAATCTGACCCATCATTTGTACACAATGTAAATTTAAGAGACATGCAACCCCAAACTTGCAGTTTTGCAGCACGACATGAGGGCAGACATGGGCAGGCATGCACTTTATGTTACTGAACTCCAAATTCTCTCTGCCCCTTGTAATTGGGACTAAAAAATACTGCACCTCTGTGGGTTAATATTGGATATTTCCAATTAGCACCTTAAATTTTGTGTTGTAGATGTTCATGTTTTGACGTTTAGATGGATTGGTTCCCTAATAGATGTGATTTAGTCATTGTCTAAATATTTTCAGAACATCACAATTTTAAATGTTTTGTTCATAATTTTGAAATTTGAAGTTAATCTTCATTGTTTTCATGTGTTTCTTGGTACCATTTATAGATATCCAAAGAGAACATAAAATGCTTTTGTGCTACGAAGTGGATTAGTTTAATAAATCAAACAATAGTACATGTACATGAATCAGGCCAAGTAAATAAAAACCTATGTTTCTTGTGCGGATTTTTCAAAAAAAAGGAGGCAGGTTTTTTAATTTTAATTTATTTTAATCTTTTCAAGATAGCCGCTATTTCCGATATCCGGCAATCCTCATCACCTTCACTCTTGCAAGATACATGTATCACCCACATGAAGAGTTTACCACTTACTGTATATACAAAATTCAAGAGTGCATTTAAACAACAATACCGCAAGTAGTATCTCAAATTAGGGTAATTTCCCGACTTTTTGGGGTGGGTTTTTGCACCTTTTTGTAAATAAAAAAGATTGAAAAATCCACGCAGGTCCCAAAAAAGGAAATGCACTGGGACACGAAACAAACGGTTTTTACTTCGCCTAGTATATAAAATTCTTTCCATAAGAGGTTTGTCATTTAAGTCATATTCTTTAAATCACTGAAATAAACTGAAGCCCATATGTGATAAGTATTCAGCTGTAAGCATATTCATAGACTACAGAGCAAAAATTTCATTATCTGCTTTTCTAAGGCTAGCCTCCGCTGTGATATTCGACATTTCCGTGGTGACCGGGCTGGGGAAGTCGTGGTACTGGTCGTAGATGGTAGCCCAGTCGAACCGGTTTCACAACCGTAGGGGGAAGAACGATGGTGGGAATAGCGCCACTTTTTGCTCATAACAACTACCAAACCCAAATTCCTCCTGTAAAACAGTTGATTCGTCTTACATGTATGAACCCTTTGAGAAATTTCTTTCGCAGATAAGTGACCACTGTGATACCTTGATATTTGTCCTCACAGTTTGCATGAACCATGGAGCTAGGAACACAAAGCACGATTCAATATCTGAAGAAAACAAAGTCTGAGTTCTTGCGGGCATTTCTGTCGCAGCCACCGACAACAGAAGACCGTGGCATGTTTTACCCTATTGTTTGATAGAAAATACATCATGAACTTACTAACCAAGTATAATTGAAGTACTAGAAGGCTGAATATATCGATGAAAAGAACAGCCGAGCATTTGACACGTGAGCACACAAACTTTACATGCACAGTACATGCAATACGCATACACTGCAATCGGGGAGATACTGCATGTTTACTTTTTTGTCTCTTCGTGACATTTTGGGGTCAGTGAATACGTAATGAGCATTTCTGAAAATGGTGAAAAGTGACTTGTGGAAAACCGTGGTTTGGGAATGTTTTTAACATGAAAGCTAAATGCTGACGTATTAATTTTTGTTTATTGTGAAAGATGGTCATATCTCCTATTGTGTTGTTTAAAATTTGGAAATCAGGGAACCTTTTTAGTAGGTCTTTAACCACTTCGG